TAAAAACTATTTCTGGAATTTCTGAAAACTGTTGTTCTAAGGAAATCCATAAGGCCCCCAGCTGTAAGCTCTAAAAAGAGCCACAGACACCAGGCTAAGAATAGACACATTAGCTCATACAGTCCATCTCCCTGCCAAAGTGGGAGTGTTCCCTATAGTATATTCTTCTCCATGCAGAGCTGGCTGCTGGCACCCCTGTGAGGGGCCAGGCCTGGGTTAGAGCTCCCTCCGGTCACCCCTGCGAAGGGCTAGGTCCCGCTCAGAACTCCCGCCAGACACCCCTGTGAGGGGCACGGTTGGTCAGAGCTCTTTCTGGTGTGGAGCGGGGTCTGGTCAGAACTCCCCCCAGACACCCCTGTGAGGAACGGGGTCTGGTCAGAACTCCCCCCAGACACTCCCATGAGGAATGGGGTCTGGTCAGAACTCCCCCTAGACACCCCATGAGGAACGGGGTCCGGTCAGAAATCCCCCTAGACATCCCGTGAGGAACGGGGTCCGGTCAGAAATCCCCCCAGACACCCCTGTGAGGAACAGGGTCCGGTCAGAAATCCCCCTAGACACCCCGTGAGGAACGGGGTCCGGTCAGAAATCCCCCCAGACACCCCCGTGAGGAACAGGGTCTGGTCAGAAATCCCCCTAGACACCCCATGAGGAACGGGGTCCGGTCAGAACTCCCCCCAGACACCCCCGTGGTGAATGGGGTCCAGTCAGAAATCCCCCCAGACACCCTGTGAGGAACAGGGTCGGGTCAGATCTGCCCCCAGACTCCCCTATGACAGGAGGGACCCAGTCAGAGCTTCTTTCAGACACCCTTGTGCAGGGCGGGGTCCGGTGAGAGCTCTCTCAAGACACCCCTGTAAGGGGCTGGACCTGGTGAGATACTGGTGCTGTAGCAGTATATAGTGGAATGAGGTTTACAGGAGCTGTCGACAAAGGCTTCCCTTGTCGACCAATCTGTGTCTTGACTCGCGCGCTGTGCCGACGATCAGCTGAGCACAGTGTGGTGGCCATTTTTATTTCAATGAAGCTGGGGATATTTAAATCCCCACTTCATTGACTATGTCGGGGAGCCCATTTTACATGCCTCTCTTGGCACAGGCATGTAGTCTAGACATACCCTAAGAGTGTGTCTACACAGCAGGGCTTAACTCAAAATAAGCTATACGAGATAGATTCCTGGAGGTTAGGTCCCGCTATTAGCCAGGATGAGTAGTAATGGCGTCCCTAGTCTCAGTTTGTTTGTCAGAGGCTGGAAATGGGTAATAGGAGAGGAATCTGGCATTGACCCCTGTGGGCAGACAGGACACTGGGTAGATGGATCTTTGGTCTGACCCAGTCTGGCCGTTCTTATGCTAGCACAAATGTTTGGCAGGCAGATGTCAGTTTAAAAATTGTTCTCGAGCTCTGCTATCCAGGCAGACTCTCAGACTCTGAATCTTGCTAAATCCTTGGCTTTGATGCTCTCTTGTGGCCACGCGCCACGTTCTAAGGATGTCTTGTGCGGAAGGGCAAGGCAGTAGGAGGCATGGGAGGCAGGAGGGCTTGTAGCAGACCTCCATTTTCAGGTCCTCACATGGCTTGCCTTTCTCGCCTCCTGCCCCTGTTGACTCCAGACACCAAGATCCAGCTTCTTCTCTCGCCTTTCCACGCAATTTCTCCACCGTGAGTGCAAGAGCTCGCTTCTCTGCATCTCCTACCTTTCACCGCAGCCTGCCTGTGTCTCTCAAAGCCTCTGTGTCACTTTCCTCATGGGAAAAATGGGGCTAACAAAAGCGAATTGTATGGAAAAAGCGAATAAGGAAAAGTTATTTACTTATTCCCACAATAAAAGAACTAGGGGTCACCAAGTGAAATTAATAGGTGGCAGGTTAAAGCAAACAAAAGGAAGTTTTTCTTCACTCAGTGCCGTCGACCTGTGGAACTCCTTGCCAGAGGATGCAGTAAAGGCTAGAACTTTAACAGGGTTCAAAGAAGAGCTAGATAGATTCATGGAGGTTAGGTCCATCAATGTCTATTAGCCAGGATGAGTAGTGATGGTGTCCCTAGCCTCTGTTTCTCTGGAAGTGGGTGACAAGGGAGGGATCATGTGAGGTTTATCTGTTGTGATCCCACCCTCTGGGGCATCTGGTATTGGCCACTGTCGGCAGACAGGACACTGGGCTAGATGGACCTTTGGTCTGACCCAGTCTGGCCATTCTTATGTTCTTATGAATTGCTTCCCAACTTTTTCATATCACAGTTAATTCCATGCCCCAACAGTTGTATTACACACAACTAGCTTCCTTTTATAAAATACTGGTTTAAATGTTGCCTACCCAGCCTTAAGGCTGCCCTGTTGGATGTCTGAATTATGGTTCAGACTTTAATTGTTTGATCATGTGCCATTATTTCTGCAGGCTAATTGGAACCATGTGAATCTTAACATTGCTATCCAGAGAGATTCCCTCACTCTTGTTCTTTTTAAAACCAAACCAAGACAATTAAGTGCAAAACAGCATGCTAATGCACCATTTAGGCTACACTGTTGAAACAAACTAACAAAAACCCCAGGAAATGCGTAAGTTATGATTCCAGTATGAAATCTTCATTCCAAATCATATTTTTCATACCCATTGTTCAGGTTAAATGTGCAGGCTAGTATGTGATTTATTCCATAAAAATGAAGATTGTGAAAAGCACCCAAGTTAGGAATTTAGCTATTAGAATTGTAGCTTTTGCATTTCTTGTTCTTCGTGATATTACTGTAACTATTCCACTTAACATTGAATGCATGTCGTTTTTTTGCAGGTAATATATATCAAAACTATTCAGAATGATGCATGCATAGTTAGTGTTAGCTGTAGTCCTAGAAACTCAGATATGCAATAGAAACCAGATTTCAAACTCTCAAATAGTTCCCCGTAATGCGGATATGACTTTACTCATAGAAACACAAGCAGCTGCCTTTAGCATTACGGGAACAGCCTTGCTGAGTGGAATTGCTTACGATGGGTGGGAAGCCAGGCAGCTTTCAACACAATACAATTAAATCATCCTTCACTTAGTTGAAGTTTTGGTCTCAAGTAATAAAAACCATGGATTGCACCCAGCATGTGATCTATATTTGTAACCTAGCATTTGCAGTCAACTTTAAATGCTTTGGGCCTGAGAGAGCCGTGGATTTCTTACTTATGACACAATCTAGTTCCAAGGTGAGTCAGGAACTGCCTGGTTTTGTGCCATGAATTTGCTTTCTTTGATTTTGAATCTGTTTGGTGCTGGTGGAGTTTGCATTGCGGCAGCGAATGAGTTTTCTGCTATGACATGGGTCCCACCCATGTTTGGATCTCTGCTGCGGCTAATAGAGAAAGTCAGTTGCTGCTTCTAGCTTTCCGACTCCCGGCTGCTACGGGTACGGGGAAAGGTCCACACACCTCTTCTTTGGGCACTGGGGACAGCAGAGACGAGAGGCGCGCTTGGAGAGTCCAACCCCCAGATAGAGTGTTTGGGGCAGGAGAGAAGAGCAGGCTCCCTACAGGTGGTAGAGGTGGGATGAAGAGAGAGGATTGTCTCTCAAAAATGTCCACCCTTGGCAAAGGGTCGAGATGGAGACAAGGGACTTATATCCTGAGTGGCTAATCCTCATGTAGAGAATGGGGAGAGAAGAGACCCATCCGCCTGGCTAGTTCTAGGGTGGGGAGAAAGAGAACCTCTAACAGCATGCTCCAAATAGACCCCCATCATCAGAAACTCACACTCTAATTCCCACACTCTGGCTTGCCTTCCCGTCCCTCCTGCCGGGGTCCTAGGTCCCTTCTCAACAGGAACCCTAATTCAAAGACCTCACCTGTGTCCCACATGATCTACTGCGAAGTATCTGGGAAAATGAGAGTGGCGTGTGTGCCTCATAACGAATCCATGCTGAATAATGACACACACGCTCCAGGGACGAGAATGGAGCCTCGTATGTCATTATTTAGCATGGATTCATTATGAGGCACACACTCCCCTCTCATTTCTCTCTCCTGCTGCTTGGCTGTCTTGGTGAAGTTTTGGCTGTGCTGGACAGTTTTGGGAAGCATGTGGCCGGGGGAAAGGGGAAGACGGTGGGGCAGGGTGGGGAGGAATGGGAGGCCGTTTGTACAGAGTAAACTCCACAACACAAATCTGAATTGTATCCAGATGTGACTTGCCACTTCCATTCTCAGACCCGGTCTATGCTGGGGACGGGGGAGCAATGTCGAATTAAGGTAGGCAACTCTGGCTACATGAATAGCGTAGCTAGAGTCAATGTACCTTAGATCGACTCTTCTCGATCCAGTGGAGTACTGGAGTCAATGGGAGTGCGATCAGCGGTCAATTTAACAGGTCTTTCCTAGACCCTCTAAATCAATCCCCAGGGTATCGATCCCCACAGCACCGATTTCCTGGTAAGCGTAGACACGGCCTCAGAACTGAAGAAAAGGAGCAACAATAACTACCCTCTCTAGCACCAGATTACCCCTTGCCACCATGGGGCAAAGCCCCACAACTCTTGTCACTTTTGGCCTGACCAAAGTCTCCTCCAAACGCAGGGTTGACTCTAGGGCTGTCAAATAATCACAGTTAATGCAAGTGATTAGCTCAAAACAAATTAACCAAATTAAATAGTCGTAATTAATGGCAGTTTTAATCACACTGTTAATAACAGAATACCAATCGCTAACATTGTTTAAATGTACAGATCAGGCTGCCTTCTTTTTATTTACGGTGCCACCTAAAAGTGAGAACAGCTGTTCACATGACACTGCTGTAGCCAGCATTGCAAGATATTTACGAGCCAGATGTGCTAAACATTTGTATGCCCCTTCCTGCTTCCACGTCAAGGCTCCAAAGTTTGACGTTGTTTTGGTTTTGAGGGCGGCTGGGTCAAAACAATTCTAGTCTGTAAGGTGCATGTTCCCGACAAAGCGATTACACTTCAGTACTTGTATGAGCTGAACTGAAAAATACTATTTTTTACTTTTTTTTTTTTTTTACAGGGCAAACGTATGAAATCAAAATGAACCGCGTAAAGGGAGCACGGTACACTTGGCGTTGTGTGTTGTCATGGAAATCAATACATTTGAAAATGTAGAAAACATCCAAAACATGTATACTGCAGTGAATTGATATTTTATTTTCACCAGGCAATTAAACCTGTGATTAGTTGAGGTCTTTTAGTCATTCGGCAGCTGTAAGGGTTGCTATGTGTGTTCAATGAAGATCTCTGTGCACCCTGGAGGGGAAGTCATGCCAGGGGTGCGGTGGAGGTGAGGCTTGCATTGCACTGGCCGATAGTGCTGCCTAGTGTCCTGCATGGAGCAGGCTGTACCATCCCCTTGCCTCTGGAAATGTAGCCCCACCCGCAGCTCTGCAGGCAGTGGTAGGGGCCTGCGCTATCGGCCATGCAAGTCACGGTGGAACTGGCGTAGTCTTGCCCTCCGAGTGGGACAGTCCATTCTCCGCCCCCTGTGGGATGTTCCTGTCTTGGCTCTGCCTCTCTCTGCCACGGCCAGGCGATATCCCAGAAGCTGCCTATATGGATGGCTCCCCACATCACCATGTGCACGATCAGCCCCAGAGCACGATCAGCATGGAGCTGAAGGCAGGGAATTCGGCTCAGCACTTCCTGACCTGCACTAGCGCTCTGCCCACGCCCAGGGCACTACGGCATCGCTTTCTCTCTGCACCCTCTGCCGACTGGCACAGCCCAGTCCAGGGCCAGCCCCCTGGGCCAGCCAGGAAATGCTCTCCAGGAATGCGCTGTGGAGGAGCAGTTACTTCATGCAAGCTGAAGGCCGAGGGGGCAGAGACAGGCCCTTTTCCAGCAATATGAACTGATTTGTAACAAAAGAAATCCCTTCTCTTACAGTGATAGAAATGTAGCCGTGTTAGTCTGGTGTAGCTGAAACAAAATACAGGACTATGAAGCACCTACAGCCCCCAACTTAAACCTGTCCAACACATTATCAATAAACTACAGCCTATACTGGAACAGGATACTAAACTCCAAGAGGCTCTGGGAGACAGACCCATAGTCTCCTATAGACAACCACCTAACCTCAAGATGATTCTTACCAACAACCACAGGACATACCACACTAATACCAACCCTGGTACCTTCCCTTGCAACAAACCCCGTTGCCAGCGTTGTCCACATATTCACTCTGCTGATACCATTATTGGACCTAACCAAGTGAGTTATAAGATCAAGAACACATATTCCTGCGCATCCAGAAATATAATCTACGCTATCATGTGCCGAAAGTGTCCGTCTGCTATGTACATTGGACAAACATCTCAGACACTTCGCCAAAGGATTAATGCCCACAAAACAGATATCAGACAAGATCACAAAGAAAAAACAGTTTCTTGCCATTTTAACCAGAAAGGACACTCTCTAAATGACTTAGCCACCTGCATTCTGCTACAAAGACCTTTTACATCTGCACTTGAAAGGGAATCCTCTGAACTGTCATTCATGTTAAAATTCGACACTTGCCAACAAGGACTTAAAAGATAGCTTCCCCAATTATCACCTCTAATATCATTAGCCCACTTTACCTTTCCCCCCCTGCCCCGCATCCCCCTTCTGTTCTGAAATTTGATTTGTCCTTTTCATATGTGTTCATTTTTTTAAATTGTATCCTTTGGTATATATGGCTGTGACTATTTTCTTCCACTATTTGATCTGAGGAAGTGGGTCTGGCCCACGAAAGCTCATCATCTAATAAACCATCTTGTTAGTCTTTAAAGTGCTACATAGTCCTGTCTTTTGTGTCTTTTCTTACAGGGCACTATCGTCCCTGCCACGCCTGAGAAAACCGACAGCCGTTTTCTTCACAATGCTGCTCCAGTCACCCTTCTCCACCCCTGGCAGCTGGAGGAAGGGCATGTTTGAGAGGCCAGACCAGCAACCATCCGCGCGCAGATGGCCCTGCCCATGTACCACCTGGGCCTGGAAGGAACACTGCTCCTTGCGGAACCGAGAGAGCAGGAAACAGCCAGGGAGCGGGGGCAGCAGGAAAGGGGGGGGGGGGCGCATTTTGGCCGTTCATACGATCAGGTTTTGGCAGTTCCTCGGACTCGTCTCTGGAGGACAGTTCGTGTATTTGTGCATCTCCATCGGTGAGCTTCATTAGCAGCCTCAGCGGAGGTAAAACAAGGTGGGCCAGGTCCCGAAGGAGGGATATTCATAGATTCCAAGGTCAGAGGGGCTGTTTTGATGATCTAGTTTGATTTCCTGAACAATTCAGGCCAGAGAACTTCCCCAAAACAACTCCTTTTGAACTTGGCAGTGCCATGGCAAGGAAGTATGGGGCAGGACCCCATACGTTTAGGCCCTGGCTTTATAGGCCCCATCTGTTCCTGCCCATCTGAGTCCATTGTCTTATTTGGCCATTTTAACCCATCACCTGTGTGTGGTGTGGACATGCCATACAGGGCCACACAGCAATCCAGCCAGTTGGAACATGCTGAAGATGCCACCTTGTTCTTCAATACTGAGCACCTAGGTTGTCTACATAGGATCTCTGAGACCGCGGTGCCCAGTGACAACCGCTGGTATCCGATACTTTTCTTCATTCAACTCTGACTTTTCTAGCATAGACATGGGCGACCAAACAGCTGCCCTCCCCCAGTTAGATGACAGCATCTGAGACCCATGCCAGCTGGCAACCGTCTCGGTCTGATGCTCTTGAAGCAGAGCAGCTCAGCACAAATATTTACCCCCATGGCTGGTCGTGAATGATTTCAAACAATAGAAAAGTGCCCAGATGCCACCATCTGCTGGTGAAAATTTTTCAGAAGCAACCTGAATATTCAACGACGAGTTGAAATAATTCCTGAGCTCCACCCGTAACGTCCCCCACTTTCCTTCACCACGGGTGCACCGAGGACGCCAGATTGGGTCAAACATGGGAGATGTTTGAAGATACGATACATGGGCACAGAGTCTGCAGGTCGTTGAATGCGTTAGCAAATCAATGCATCAACTAATTACACAAATATCCCTGTTCTTGTTAGAGTCTTGCAAAGAGGTTCCAGAGATCAGGGCCCCATTGTGCTAGACTCTGCACAGAGCCCTCCTCCTCTTCAAACAGAACCCCCCCCCCACTCACTCACCCTATTTCCTCAAGAGATAGGGGGTGGGAACAGAGGTGGGGAGAGGGTTTTCTGGGCCCGGATCTCAGTCAGAGCTTGCATGTGGCTATAATCAGGGCTTGACAATTAGTGTAATCTACTCACCCGTGGCAAGTAGATTACTAGCCGGCACAGCCGTGCAGTGCGGTAAGCACATGTGCAGCGCGGTCTGTGCATGCGCAGCGTGCTGAACCACGCAGCTGGCGAGCGGGGCTCACTACCGCTTGGCAAGCCCTGGCTATAATGATATTAAATATTGTTTTAGGCTCTACATCTCTGGCTACATTCTAGACTGCATCCCTCTGCTGACAGAGAGATGCAAATCAAGCACTTCAGAAGTGCAAATGAGCCCGGGATTTAAATATCCCGGGCTTCATTTGCATACTCATGTTGCGGCGATGTGTCAATCACGCGCCCTTTCGGAGGGTGAAAGTAAAGCGTAGCCGCAGCTCTGTTGACAGCAGGGAGCTTTTTCGGCAGATCCTGTACTTCTCTGACCAGGGAGGCACGTGAGTATGCAAATGAAGCCTGGGAAATTTAAATCTCGGACTCATTTGCACTTCTGAAGTGCTTGATTTGCATCCCTCTGTCGGCAGTGGGATGCAGTCTAGACAGAGCTCTGTTCATCCAGCTGCCCAGCTGACAGCTTATCTGACAGCTTATCTGGATCTCAGGTTGCCAAAAGAAGTTTTGAGAAAACGTGCCCTTCGATCTGCTCGAGGAAGGATTTGCACGATATTTATGGTCTCTAGATACAAAACCCAACATCGTAGGGACCATGAAATGAGAGAATCACAGACACTGCTCAGACGACCGTCTTTCTTTCTGCCGTTGGAACAGTTGGTACAGAGAAAGAGATCAACTTGCCAATGCGTACCCACCTCCGGCCTTCGCCAGACAACCCCTCCAAGGCTGCCAACTTCGCCAACCACTGCGGGTGAGCTTGAGAGAGACCTCAGTGCCCTGTGCCAACCCCAAGTGTTCAGAAATCAGGAATAACCGCAAAGCCCAGGTCAGGGTGAGTTTGGACACTAATTCAGGGCCTGTAAGCTCCGGTGAGGGTGGTGTTGTGGGGCACAGTTATCAAATGTATGAAATGTGCAGGGGACACCAAGCTGCGGAGGTGGGTTGCAAACATTTTGGAGGAGAGAGCTAAAGCGCAGAAGGAGCTTGATGAACTGAGAACTGGACTAGAGACAACACAGTGAAATTCAACACAGACAAATGTAAGGTTCTGCACTTAGGGAGGATACAAAATGGGGGATAACTGGCTTGGGAACAGCACTGCTGAGAAGGATCGGAGAGTTGTGGTGGCTCACAACCTCCTCACGACTGGTAATGTGATGCTGACGTAAAAAGAAAAAAGAAGGACTTTTAGGGTTGCATTAACAGAGGTATGCCATGCAAGTCTGATAGTTCGGCTGTACTCCGTGTTGGTGACGCCTCAGCTGGAGTGCTGTGTCCAATTGTGGTCACCACAATTACAGAAAGGATGTGGAGAAACGGGAAAGGAGCCAGAGGGGAGCAAGCAACAAATAGGATCAGAGGGAAGGAATGCAAGCCATATGAGCAAAGGCTGTAAAAACTGGGCATGTTTAGTTTGGGAAAGAGGAGATTAAGGGGGACTGATAACAGTCTTCAAATGCTTGAAGGCTGCCATAAAAAGATGGAGAAAAGTGGTTCTCTCTTGCCACACTGGGCAGGGAAAGACGTGATGGGTTCAAACTACAGTTTTAGATTAAATCTCAGGAAAAACTTCCGACTGCGAGAACAGTCATCGGACAACGGAACAGGCGCCTCCGGCAGGTTGTGGAATCTCCTTCACTGGAGGCTTTCAAAACGAGGCTGGAGAGCTACCTGTTTGGAACAGTTTAGACCCAACCAATCCTGTTTTGGCAGGGGGATTAGCCCCGAGGCTATGGCAGCGCCTTCTAATCCTGTGGTTCCCTGCTTCCATGGCTCAGCGCTTGGATGTCCACATGATGCTACGAGGAGTCCTGTGGCACCGTAGGGTATGTCTTGACTACGTGCATCTGCCGACAGAGGCATGTAAATTAGACTACCCGACATAGTCAATGAAGCGGGGATTTAAATATCCCCAGCTTCGTTAAAATAAACATGGCGAGCCATGCCTATAGGCAACACATGTGTAACCTCATGAGGGAGACCACTAACATGGTAGCTGCCATGTGTCCCAGGATCTGAAGGCATGCTCGGGCAGCTGTAGAGGGGGTATACATGACTCCATTGATAAGGTCACATAGCTTCTGAAAACGGTGTAGAGGCATAAGGGAGTGGTCGACAAAGGCTTCCCCTGTCGACCCATCCGCGTCTTGACTCGTGCGCTGTGCCGGCAATCAGCTGAGCCGGCACAGCGCGGCGGCCATTTTTATTTTAACGAAGTGGGGGATATTTAAATCCCCGCTTCATTGACTATGTCAGGTAGTGTAATTTACATGCCTCTGTCGGCAGAGGCATGTAGTCTAGACATACCCTTAGAGACTTACACAAATATATCTAGTCTCATGCGCTTTCGTGGGCAAACCCCACTTCCTCGGATGAGCAGTTGCTTGACTCAAGGGGCTGAGGCCTTTTCAGTAAGATACTGATTTTTTTTCCCTTTGGAGAGCAGCTTTTCAATTCTGGAGGGACTAGGTCCAAAAGTGACACCTTCCCTGCCTTTACCAAGGGGTCACTAGCTCAGCGCTCGGTAAAACGGCTTTTCTGAGTCTCAATCCAAATCAGACAGCTGGGACCCCCGGAGGAGAGCTACGGCACA